GGGGCGCGGCGGGGCTGAGCGCGGAGCTGTCGCAGCCCGCGCGGCTCCAACTTGGGTAAGTTTGTGCTTCTCCCCCCGCCACCCCCAGCAGATTATCCCCGTTGCCTTCAACAGGTGGAGCTGCGGCTGCGGGCCCCGGGGTAGGGGGTCCCCCTCCCCCGGCTGCGTTTCCCCGGGGGTCTGAGTGGGCTCGATTCCGAGCGGCGCTGGGAAAGCCTGAAGCTTTCCCTCCGGGGGCAGCCGGCACGGAGGAGCTGTGCCCAGGGAGGTGCGCCGTGCCCCGTAGCCGGCCCGGGCTGATGGAAACCCGCCTACTTCACCCCTGGCGGGGGGAGCTCGGGGCTGAGCGCGGCTCTTCTGGGAAAGGCAGCTGGAAAGTTTGTGTGGAGCTCTCTGCTCTGTTCTGCTCTGCTGCAGCTCCTGTGGGTTACTCGCGTTCACTGGAAGCCGCGAGCCCGGGAGGCTGCGTGTTGTTTGTGACTCACAGAAGTATTTGCTCTGGAAGCGCCCACCCCCTGGGCCTGGCCGGGCATGGCAGTGACTGTGCCCTTTCCCCTCGTGCGAGCCCGCTGGCAGCAGGGTCGGCTTCCAGGGCAGGCAGTGACAGAAAGGATCATTCAAGTACTTTCTGGGTTAATAGTTGGGAGCAAATATCCCTTAACCCCCCACCCCTCCTCCCCCAGAAGAGCTGTGAGCTTATTTCAGCTTTGAAATCTGGTGGCAATTACTGCTCCTCCCTTGTGAACTACCTGGCCCTGTTGCTCTGGTGTTACTAGGTGTGAATAAGAACCTTGTTTTGCCTGGTTGCTTTGTTTTGTTTTGGTTTTTTTGCTTTTGAAACTCAAAATGTTGCCTTTGAGGGGATGGTTCCCCTTTCTGCTTGTTTTGTTAATCTGTTCCCAGTTGCCTCCATCATCTAACAGGTAACGCATTCCAGAGAAACGTTACCCATTTATCCTAGTGCGTCGTCAGGTTTAGAGCAAGGTAGAGAATGTGGTGATGGTGGTCACTCCCTACTTGGTAACATAGGTTACTAACCAGTGCTGCTTCTCTTTGGGTGCTTGTCACAGTTCCTTTGAGGAAATCACCTCTTCCAGGATGATCTCTACCCCGGCTTGCTGATGGGTCTTGAGGTGACTAAGGAGTCCAATCCTTGAGCCACAGACCTGTCCACAGGAGTTGCAGGTCTTTCCACAGGGGAGGGGAGGCCATAGGCCAGGATTTCTCTCCTTTTCCTTCCTCCACTCTCACTTCTCTGTTTCAAGGGTGAGACACTTTACCTCAGAGCAGGCAGCCACTTGGTTGAAGTTGTGGTGCCACTGGAGTCTGTCAGCAGCCAGCTCCTCCCAAGAAGCATTCAAAATACAGGGGGGGGCTGAGCCTCTCATAAGAGATGAGCCCTCCATAAACTCCCCCATAAGAGACAAGAGCCCCTGGCCTGCCCCACACCTGCAAGGCTTTTTCTGCCTGGCCCCCCCCCCCCCCCTCCAGCCGTACATGGCGCCCCCCCCCCCCCCCCCCCAGTCAGTGTAATTCGAACCCTGCTCCCAAGTCTTGATGAAATGCTAATGTTGTCAAAGCCAGAGTTTGAGGAAATGCTAAGGTTGTCAAAATCAAAGTTGACCTGAGGGGTCTCTTCCTTTCTGTTCCCAGGATGGAAATCTCTCATCAGTTCTCTGGGATGAGAGTTGCGCACCAGGGTCTGGCTAAAGTAGCTTGGGTAACTCATTACCAATGTACTTGCAGTGCCTAGTGTGATTATATACTTGAGAGGCAAGGATTTGAGCGTGATTACATATGCATGTGGAGCCATTCCTTTGCTTTGCGTGCCTTCGGGATTGTGAGTGAGCCAGATTCTTGTAAATATCCAGAGTGCCTGCCCACAAGAATGGAACTGACAGCAGAGAGCATGGCTGCAACCACAAGCCCAAACTAAGCTGACAGAGGAAATCTAGTCCTTTGCTGGCTTGCCTTGAACTTCCCTTTTTGGTGTTGAGGGCTCTGAAGGGCTGTGTGGCATCTTAATTTGATTTGGTATGAAGTACAGATTAGTGTGGTGTTTTTTTAGAAAAGCAGATGGAAAGCATATAAAACTGAAGGGAGAGCATTGCTTGTTGAAGTTTGGATGGGTAGTTCTAAAAGCTGGAGCTTTCTACATAGCTATCTTTTGTGATGCTGGTCAGTCTGTAAGTAAGAGCTGCTTCAGGTTCACATACTGTCGCTGGTGTCTTACTGAGTAGTAAAAAAGAATTCATGCAAATCTTTAGGTACTTCTGATAACGTATTCTGAACAAACAGATATGTCCTCCCTGTAAGACCTGACAAAAGCAACATAACTGTACTAAGAACTCTCAAGCACCTTAATGTAGACTTGTTCCAACCAGTTTTCCTAATAAATAGTGGTTCATGTTAGTAGGCAGTATGTGCATGTTGCTGCAGTGTATGCTGTGGGTTTTCTCTACAGTGAGAGTGTAAATGCTACTACTTGCTTGCTATTTTGGATCAATTTATGTATTTCAAGAAGTTGGGAAACAGAAATGAATAGCTCTTTGTTTTAAATTAATAAAAGCATGCTGGGAGTTAGCAGGTAAGCAATGCTTCTTATTTTCTAGAAAGCCGGAGCAACGACTAGCTCAGAAAGATGTTAAATAAGGAAATGGTTCAACTTCTACTGGATCTTACCTTTGACATCTATCCTGTTGAAACTTCAAGTTGTTTTTTTTTAAAGGGGCAGGCACAGGATTTGTGTCTGGTTGAAATAATTCTAACCACTTAAGATGTTTTTAGATTGAATAAATACACAGCTTTACTTCAGCATTTTGAAGGCATTTTTAAATGTTAATAGCTTGAAGTAATGAGAATAGGTATTTTAAATATTGAATTCTCAATAGACAATGTAACAAGCTTAAATAGAGGTTTGCTATATTTGAAAGATTGCCAGTAAACATTTAGTGGCCACATTAACTGATAGTAAACTAATTGCTACGCTTCTGTGACTGTCATTTTCCTTTTCCCATTTTTCTTCTTCAAGCAGGCAGTTCTATAGACAGGTAATGAATATTCACTGAAATAAGTTGGCTTTTTCTTTTGTGCAAGGCTTCACCTCTAATGGAAAACTGAAATTATGATTCCAATGCACAGTTGATTAACCATGCTTAAAATAAGAACAGCAATCTTTTGGGTTCTGATAGTGAGTCAAAAATTAAGCACGTGCATCAGGTTCTTTAGTATTTTAGCTTTAAATCTTCTAAAAAAAGAGAAAAAAAAGTAGAACTAGCATTTGTAATTCTCTCTTTCTTTTGTACCAAACTTGGACTTGTTAGTTTTGTTTTGTTTTCTAAGCTGGTCCTGCAGGTTCTCTAATGCACCACTACAGAGTTGTAAGGTTTGACTTTCAAAGACTTCAAGTAAAATCATGTTAAGACTATTTTCCTTGGGATATTGAAAAATGAAAATATATTTGGTATAATTAAATTTGTAGGGGTTTATTTTATCATCAGAAATCCCTTGCGGTCAAGGATGATTGTCTTCCATGATTGTCTCATCTGTGGGTCCAAAGAAGGCTAACGAGGCTCATCTGGGATTGACAGGCTGTTGCAGCTTGGGCACATGTGAGGTGGGTGGCTCTGGGTTCTTGGTTTAGGCTATGACATGCTGTTTCTGCTGCGCTCGTTTTTCTGTCTCCTGTTATCATTGTAAGGTTTCAAAGTACTGAGATCCTTTCAGCAGAGGGAGTCCTGGCTGATAGTCTCCCACAAGCTGATATCAATGTCATATTTTTTCAAGTTGGCCTTGAGAAAGTGCTTCAAGGATATTCTTTGCTCTCCTTTTGAGTGCATGCCTTGACTGAGCTGGGAGAATAAAACTTGCTTCAGGAGAATGGAGTCAGACATCCAGATGAAGTGGTCAGCCCAGCCAAGTTGATGTCAGATGATCATCACTTCAATGCTTGTGATGTTTACATGCAAGAGGATGCTAATGTTGGTGTATCTATCTACCCACTGGATTTGAAGAAGCTACCACTGGCACTGTTGATGGTACTTCTCCAGGGACTTGAGGTGTCTCCTGTATGTTGTCCATGTCTCAGCTTTGTACAATAGAGTGGGGATTATGACTGCTTGATGAACCGTGAGCTTGGCTTTGGATCTTATGTTGCAACCTTCAAACACTTGTTTCCTCAGGCATCCAAAGGCTGCACTTGCACATTTGAGGCAATGTTGGATTTCTTTGTTGATGTCAGCATTTTGTGTGAGATAGCTTCCGAGGTGCAGGAAATACTCAGTGCTCTCCAGAGTCTCACCATAACTCTGAATTACCAGGGCTGGGTACTGCTTGCTAAGAGCTTGTTAGTGGAGGACCTTTGTCTTCTGAATGTTAAGTGCCTGTCCCATTTAGTTGTATGACTTGGTAAGACATTAATGATTGCCTGAAGGTCTGCTTCCAGGTGAGCACAAACTGCAGCATCATCAGTGTACAGGAACTCAATAATTGAGGTTGGGGTTTTGGTTTTGGCTCAGAGTTGACTGAGGTTGAACAGCTTACCGTCCATTCTGTAGTTTAGCTCCACTCCAATTGGAAGGTTGTTTGTGGTCAGATGTAGCATTGCGGTAAGGAATATTGAGAAGAGCGTTGGAGCAGACACGCAGCCTTGCTTAACTTCTGTCTTAACCTCAAAGGGATCTGTGATAGATCTGCTATTGAGAACCCCTGCTCTCATACCATCCGTGAACTCCAGGGGATTTATTTATACTATAAGCAAATATTAGGCCAGTTTGGACTTAACAATGCTTTAATGAGCTAATGTCAAAATCAGTGAGGTCAACTGAACAAGTAATTTTGGAGAACATGTAGGTATATTTTTAAAATCTAACATTTGGATAGTAAGGGTTCTAAGCTTGTAATGTTTACTCTATTAAAGCTCACATTGTCAAGTGGCAACAATGATTGAAGAACAGTCATCTTAAACTATTGGTTGTTTGTTTTTAGGGTATAGAGAAAACTTTTCTAACTGTAAGGGTAGTTAAACACTGGGAAAGGTTGTGGAATTAGTCAGACAAAAGTGTTTTGGGGATGGTGTAGGTATAGTTGATCCTGTCTCAGAGTAGTGGATTGGACTAGATGACCCTGGCATCCCTGATGTTTGTGACTTCTGAATGGCAATTGCTTACTGACTTATTAACTTATAAAATGTGCTCCCTACCCCACACTTCCCCCCTCACAGACTTGTTAAGCTGGAAACAAACAAATTTATGAGCTTCCTTCCATTTTTCTGTCTCTTTTCTTCTGTCTCTGTAAACCTTCTTCAAAAAAGGTGGATGAGTGGAATGAAGTATTTTTATCCAGATATTTCTGAGATGCCTGTATTGACTTCAAACTTGGAGTTCAGTTTCTGAAATTAAACTTTTTTCATAGCTAGCATATCTTTAATTAGATGCACACTGATGCAGCTAGAACCCAAATTGGACTTATGTAAGCGTTGTTGAGTTTTAATGTTACTGATATCGGTACATTTCTGTTGTGAAATTGCAGTTTCCGCAAAGCCAGAGTTGGTGTCAGATCCGTGTGATGAATATCTCCGTAATGTATCTTGGTTTGTGGAATTCCAAG